AACTTCCCATGGTGCTTTCCAGTAGTATGTGTCGTTTGTCCGGAAAGTCAACGATACAGTGATACGTGAAATACGTTCCCAAAGGCTGCTTTAACTCAACCAAAATCAACACATCAGTGAGTGCTAACCGAGCGATTAGCTGCCTATTGATTTTCTCCAACTATTTTTTTTACTTTAATACATTTTTATAGCTACTTTCCAGTCTCCTTTTATCAAATTGGTTTGTAAGCGTGATCATGCTACTAATGAGCAGTCAGAATATTATTGCGAGTTTTGGCAAAGGGATGGGGCGACTGTTGGTCAGATCTACCTTTTTAATTTTAGTGTAACTGGCCAAACATCTCTAGCATACACCCTACGTGGGAAGAGAAAACGGGTGTCATCTTTATGTACTAATTGACTCGCAGCAGGAAGTTGTTGTTTATTATCTAGAATGATTGATATCTTCCCGCCTAATTCGTATTCCAGATACAACCTTCAAGTGTAATAGTGTATTATCTTTTGCAATTTACTCATACTTTTGAATGATGCTGTTGAATGCATTAATGGCTTTGGGCTGTAATGTATATTAACCAGACCTTATTTTCCCACACAACACCTAAAGTCATGTTCTTGTGATAACTCATCAGTGATGTAAATCCCCAGTCAACCAGCATAAAAAGATTGTAAATTGTCTGCATCTGATGTTGCAAGGTCAGAGGAAGTGACCTGCACACATACACACACTCTGAAAATGACATCTACGCAGAGATGAGTTGAGCATTCTGGTGAGCCTTTAAGTGGTCTGGTTGACTCAGTGGTAACCAACTCGTCTAGTACGATGGGTTCGGAGTTAGAGGCTTAGATGAGACGGTAGATGTGCAGTACTGATATTATGTTATTATTATTATTATGCAAAATGTCTAGCTTAGGGTTCCAATAAACAATTCAGCTTGTTCCATATATGGTTATCGCGAAGGTTGGTTTCTCAGTCAGCGGTACAATAATCACTATAATGATAGCTGCCAAAATATTTTGATAGTTTCGTAAACACAGATTAAAAAACTGTCTAACGATCGCATGACCTTAAATTGTGCACAGTTTATCGCTAACCGTCAGCGAGCCTATCAGTGGGTGTTACACCTAAGGTGCTAACCTTAGGTGTCGCAGAAGGTGATAACATCACCGTTGCAAAGATCCATTGTAGATAATGTAATTTGTTAGGCAGTGTATCTTCTCTATGCCCGTTTACTGGTTTACTAAATGATGATTTTAATTAGTTAAGTTGTGGTCTCAATGATTGGTTATGTTTCCCTGAATCACTCCCACTGTCCGATCCAGAACATTTTTGACGCATTTATTCTTGCTTGCTGGAACTTTGCAAACGCACTGTTTTATGATGTACCCAGACGCATTGCTTTCCCACATATTTGCATTTAAATAACTGTCATTCATCCGCTCGAAATATCGACATATTTCATTTCGCATCCGATAGTTCAGAAACTATTTGATGCCTTATCTTTCAGTTTCTCTTTTGGTAACGTAAAACTCCCCTTCATGACCGCATAAAAGTCAATAGGGGTTTTGCAAAGTGGTACGTTCCACCTTTAATTTTTTGTGATCTTTACTGAAGGCTTACTGAAGGATTTTTACTGAAGGCTTGTCCATAACTGGCTCAAGTCTTCAAACACTGGAAACACAAAGCCCATATTTTAAGAAATAGATAGCGTGTGCATTTGGTTTGGATTCATCTTTTAGTCATAACTATATAAACAATTGAGTATTCAAGAGTGTCGGCAACATAAGGCTTGTAGAGCACAATGTCTCCAACCGAGATCCGTGGTCACGATCTTCATTCTCCAAAGTTCGGTCTTATTTTGGCTATTATTGACCTTTTTCTATCTGCTATATTCCGCGTTCAAATTTGCATGGTCAGGAAACTAATCTGATGACACATGCAGCACATGCTAACTGTATCAACTGAAATTAAACACCTGTGCGCGGCCAAACTTACCCAATGCCGTCCATCGTACCTTAGAATCATAACTCCGAATGTTATAAAAGAATCGCATAATGCTACCTAAACAGCGATATTCAAGCACGGATACCCTGTCTTTAACTTGTTCCCGAAACAGCACCATTTTGCAACGTGGACTAAACTGCTTCAGCATACGCTCGATTCTGTATATGTGACCGGATATTACAGCTGTACCAAGTCGGAGAAAGATAAAGGATCATTCCACCAACGTCTCAACTAAGAATCATCCAGCGTGGGAGACGTAGACGCCGGTTTGCAAAACTTATAATTTTTCTATCATCACTTTTGTAACAGTGTAACAGTAAGGGCAGAACCGATACATTCTGTATCATCATTTGACGCTCAATGCGTAAGCACACGTTGATGCCTGAACCGTCCAAAATTCATCTCAGTGGTGTTCTACACATCTAAGAGGGTAAATTATCAGCGGTTTACGATTTATTATAGAGGATAAATCAGTATAAAAATCTAAACAAAATCAAACATTATATTGTTCGGAAAGGTTGCAGCCTACCAGAATCTTCATTTGATAATGCAGGGTTATCTGCGCATTTCAGATCAGCCAGCTTACCTCTTGAGAGAAATCGATGTCCATCTGCCGAATTTAAACACAGCTCAAGTTTATCTGAATGTGATATCTCATAAAGTACTGATGAGGCATTTTGTCCTTTGCCACTGTCGTGATTTTTTTCATCACGTGGTTTGTGTTTTGATGCAAGCATTTGTGCCGATGGAATTTTGGACCTGGGGATACAAAGAGCTAAAAATTACTCGAACTAATTCCGAACACTTATTGAAGCTGATCTTGCCATGGTTAATGTCTGTGTTCGATACCAATTATTTTGTTTGTCATTTCCCATTTCCCCCGGGTCTAAATCAATCTTTTATCAGATTCAAACTGACTAAATCGAACGCCAAACTGAACGGAAGGTCAAGTGTTGTAGAAGTGGATGCATTGATTGCCGTGTACTTGTATGACACATTTATCCAAAGTTTGACAGGTGAGTGAAGATTCATCCATAGATACCAAAAACACTTTCGGATGAATTGATTGAATTTTTCAGAGTTAAAGTCAAACAGATATGAGGTGGTGAGTGATTTGAATTGTGTTTTGGCTTCAATGACACGTGTACAATAAAATTATATAGTGCCGCGGCTTTACCGAAATCTACGGGTTTACACATTTGAACAGGTTAGTCATCTAAAGAAAACACGTTTCTACTCAATTGAAAATGATGATCCATGCCCGGTATTAAGTGTTTTGCTTTTAGGGGTACTAAATGAAGACATATGTGAGATGGGGACAGACCATTTACGTTCTCCGGTACTTATAATGTCCAGAAACCACTTTAATTTGACCCATTAGGAGGTGGGGTAATGCTCAGCTACTACATAGTCACTTTCCTTTAGTGGAAATGAGAAAGTAGAAACAAAAATAATGATGATGCACCGATGATGCCGGGGGTTGATGCAGCCGAATTTCTACCGCTTTCACTGTGGCTAGCATAAGACAGCGATCCTGCCTTGATAATCGACCACAAACCCGATACAGGAGACGGAATGCCTCGGTCACATTCACAGGTGTGAAACCACTGCACTAGTGAATGACTTAATCGTTCCTGTGTTTAGCCATGCGGGGTGATGTTCACGGATTCGTTTGAACAAACGCCTGACCGTGCCGCCTATGCACGTAGTCCCACAGGAACACGTAAATGAGAACACACAAAATGAGACGGCAGTATCCGGTATTTTGTCCTTTAGTCGTAAACACACACTTGGCTGGGAAGTGAACAAAACATTGAGCTTTGTTGCGTAGAAGATCACACTAACAGCATCGGATAGTCTCCTTTGTATTACTTCTGCTGATGTATCCCCCTTGAACAGCAAGGCAATGAATACCGACTTCTTTCTGATCTCGATCTTCTTCACAATATGTCCACCGCACTGAATCATCTTGCTAACCAATCGTTCTGGATAGCCATTATGTGTGAAGACAGAACGTAAGAACCGGAGCTCTTCTTCTATTGTGTCCTCACTACAAATTTTCCTTGCTCTATCTTCTAGACAGAGCACAAAATTCTTCACTTTGAGCGGTACAAAGCCGTGAAAATGAATATATTGGCCCTTCCAAGTCGCCTTCCTATGCACTGTGTACTAAATATAAGTGTTACAACTCTTTACTTTTATCCCCACCGCACGCATGAAGTTTTTCATGCTGCTTTTTTTCTCTCTCCGTTCCTGTTCTCAACCTGTATTTCTTCCATGCCTGTTTTTGATGATTATTTGCTCTTTAAGTCCGCCGACAATGTTGTATATACCATGAAGTTTTCCTCCACGTACCATAAATTTATGCAAAAGTTTACACCTTAGTATGAATCCTTTCAAGTGTAAAGGTTTTTCTTTTTTTCTTTGATGAACGCTGAAATATACATTGATGTAATGAACTCTTGTCAGCAAGTCATTGTCAATAGAGAACAGGGTTCCAGAGAATGCTTCGTCAGATACCTCGAAGTCACCGTTTTCCGTAATTCTTTTGCTCTCCGTGTGTCGCTTGGACATTTCAAAAATTCAGCAAACCTACCTTGACTTGACCATATGTTTTCAAATGCTATCTTTCTCAACCCCCTTAATAGAACGCTTTGTCTCCTCATATATTCTTCTTTACTGGCTTTGTGCAAACTCAGCTATATTTTCCGGTCTTCTTATCAAAGACTTCAAACAAATACATACATCAAATACGCATTTTTATTGATTTGAGCTGACTATCCTTCCTATCCTCGAGTTTCACTTTTATTTGCGCTCAGCAGTAGTGCATATACACCGTCCCGTTCTGGATTAGAACTCCGGACCCATCGTATGGAAGATGTGTGCGGTACCACTGTACCAACCAGCTCATACCATGGCTGAACCAATTTTTGTTTGTTCAGGTGTTATCTTCGGTGATGTTCAGTCAGTTCATTTGGCCCGACAGCAAAGAAGAGAGACACAGGTGACATACTGTTAACTCCAATCGAAAGCCTCCCACCTTCCATGTGATGGGTTCGGAGTTCTAATGCAGAACGAGACGGTGTATATGCACTACTGATGAGCGCAAATAAGAGTGAAACTCGAGTCTAATGCTTCCGAGTGTATGGTTGAATCGAAGAACTGAGGATTGTGCGTGAAGGAGGAAGTCCGAAGGATAGTCAGCTCAAATCAACAAAAAGCAATTTTCCCACGCCACCACTCACAAGTAATTGTAAGCCAAATGCTAAATACTTATTTCGTATTTAGTTCGTGAGTATACTTTACATTTTATAAGTTTGTAGCACCTTTGGTCTTGACAATAACTTTCTTCCAGGACACTGCTAGACCCATTTCACGCTCTGCACTTACATGTTAGCAGACACATCTCTACATCTACCACTCAATTCAAGTATAAGCAGTTAGCGGCAAGTATCACAGCAAAACATGTCTTCTGAAATACCGTGACTTTGGACGGTTTCTTGCTAACGCCGATCTTGTGATTGAAAGTCTTAACTTCAGAATTTGCTGAATTTGTATAACTGTTTGTGTATGCAGTGCATCATCATTATTTTCGTTTCTACTTTCCCAATTTACACTAAAGGAGAGTGAGCACTGCCCCAGCGTTCACCTCCGCAACGATTCATGAACGCTCAGTTCGCCCCTATCTTCAGTGCAACGTACCGAAAACTAGTAGTTTTCGGATATGTTCAGTAAAGATAATGATTGTCCCAGCGTTTTCATTGTTGTCAATCGGAGAGTAGATGGATTACTTTGTGACACCAAGACTCGAAGGAGAGCGAAAGTGTTGTGTTAAAGCGGGATTGGTCCATTATTTTTCTCATGGTCGGTGATAAGGCAGTAGGTTCTCTGCCAAGAATCTCACTTTCTCATACAATCCGACCAAACTACCATTCCAAACGATAAAACAATTGCCGCTTACCCACGTGATTCCTGTTGCTTTCCAAGCTACCGAGAAGGGAAAATCCAACCCATTGGTTCTTGCTGAATCAATGCCGCAATGAGATTTCATCTTGCTGCTCAACAACCAAGCGTCCAATCGCAATTTTGGATACAAGCTGGAGGACTAGTTATACGATTCATTTACCAATAAGACTCTAGAGAAAACTGCTCGGAATAGGGACCAACGCTTCCCGATGCTCGGAGGATATGTGAGGAATATAATAATCTCAGCTCAGCAACAACCCGTAAGTCGGTTACCACATTCCAAATCAACGCACGCACTAATGGGCGTCTCATTCAATTCGAACATTATCGTACTCAGAACACAAGGTGACCTGACCGTAAAATCTCAATCAGAAACATCAATCGGAATATTTCGTGTTCCAAATACCATCTAAAATTAAACTGTCGATACGGAGATGTAAAATGTCATGGTTGTGGGAAATATGGCCACATTCAGAAGTGTGCCGTCAAAGGAAATGCGAACTGTGGAAGAGTAAATCTGACGATGAAGAGGAACCCGACCCGAACAATAAGCCGCGAACCATGAGGGAATACAAACAGTTAATCTACAAGGATATCGTTTTCGAATCCGAAGTCTGACACAGTTTCATCGTAGATGCTGGCAGCGATGAGTCCATCATTTCACGTAGAACTCTCAAACGTGTCCAAATATGACCCTGCGACCAAGTAAAACGTGTATCCATGATGTGACCGTTCATCTATTTCCGTTTCTTTTTGAAACAATCTCATTGATGCGTCTCCGCGAAAACACTTTCGCGCTCATTCGAGTCTTGGTGTCACAAAGTAATCCATCTACTCTCCGATTGACAACAATGAAAACGCTGGGACAATCATTATCTTTACTGAACATATCCGAAAACTACTAGTTTTCGGTACGTTGTACTGAAGATAGGGGCGAACTGAGCGTTCATGAATCGTTGCTGGAGGTGGACGATGAGGCAGTGCTTTTAGAAATGCATATTCTATCATGTGATCAACGTGAGTGTTGAAGGCGATAGAATGAATGGAACAGAATGCCGTTACTTCTCGTGTGACACCATCAACCTGGGCAACATCGCTTGTTGTGTCAATGGTAAGCGATGGCAGAACCTCGAGGACATGCGAAGAATATTGATTGTAACTCAATCCACCATTACAGTAATGTGCAGCTAAGTCAATAGAATCGGAAAGCATAAAGTGTAACTGGCCTTTCATGTGGGCCCACTTCCTAATAACTTCCATTTATTCAATATTTTCAAACATAATTCGCAATGTGAAGTTGCTTGCATGAACAAAAGTCTTGTCATTCGTGTCTCAAACATAAGTAAAATAATTACTGCTTTCTTAGATCGTTATCGTTTTGGTCAGCTAATGTCATCGGTGACTTACACATTCATTCTTCCTTTCGCATTGATGAGCCCATAACTGTTTCAGCTGGGAACCATATCTACCTGACTTTAGATCATTGTTCATCGATAGACTTCTTTTTCACTTGAACTGTCAAACCTTCAACCTGATTTCAATCAGCATGCCACTTGGTATGTTACGATTTTCTGTTTGGGCTCATAACAATATCGTACATTGGCTCTGCAATCAGCATTGGGTTCGCTGCATATCGGAGAAGGGAATATACCAGGTATTCATTATTCCGTGCGGAAGACTTATTTGCAACATGGATGGGTGGTAAAAGATTTTCCATGATTCAGCTGAGTCATACACCTTAACAAATGGAACTAGAATAATCCTCCGTGCCCAAACCAAAATCCCAATTTACATCGAGCTCATCAATGCACTTGTCTACCCGGCAAAAGTTTCAAAGGACTACATATTGCCGGACCAAAGACCGTGCGTACCTGGGAGACATTCTTATCTCTGTGAAGCACGGAGGGATGAGAAATTAAAGATCCTATCCACTGTTGTCATGCGCTTACAGTAACACAAACAGAAGTTGAATTTTAAATTCTTTATGATTATGTTTGTTAACTTGGCTATTTCCCCCATGTAAAAATAAATTACACATCATAGTAGATAACGCTAAAC